TAGGATTAGTATTGTAAACTCTAAAAAAAAATGTAACATTCTATGAAGACAACATAACAAAATCTAATAATTAATCAAAGGATTTCAAACATGAACACGGATTAAACAAAACAGAATTGAAATTAAGATCAAATAATATAGAATAGAAGAGAGACGGGTATGGAGTACATGAAATATTACTTCATTTTGTTGAGGTAAATACACCTCTTGCAGAATAATCAACTACCAAACAAACCATAAGCACGTTTTAGCTACTAGTTTGTTCAAAATCACACTAACCCAAGTAGTATGATATGTTCTCGAAGATCAATAACACTAGCAATATCAACACATAAAATGCAGCAACATGAAGCATATGAACGAGCATGAACAATCAAGCAAAGACACGATATTTACGTGGAAAACCCGTAAAAACTAAGGGACGGTTCGGGAGTCCACCCAAATTGCTCCTATTATAGTAATGGAATGATACACAATCACAATTCCAAGCCTTAAAAGTGGATACTCAATTTACCCAACAACAATAGTCATAAGAGCTAAATAATGGAGGAAAAATTAAAAAACGTTACCAGAAAACACAGGTATTCGTCCAGCAGCTGTAACTCACAAACAATAGCAGCAAATGACAACAACATTATTGAAGATGAAGCCCTGGATGTCCCGGACAAGCTGACAAAATTTAAGCTAAATCGGACCACGAATGATCTTTGATCAGAGGTGATTTCTGGGGCCGCGCAATGAGAAACGCGAATAGGCTGCTCTTTGTGTACTCTTTGTATTTCCTTTCTTTCTCTCAACTAATTTCCCTCCCTCATTTACTCACTCTTTGGCAGCAAGTAAATGATAATCCAACACTTTGTTACCCATCCATTAACCACGGCAAAGGCACCCCAAAGTCAACAAGTAGAAGCTTCTCAAAGAAGCACTAACAACACGAACTTAGGCTGAATCAAACAAGTTGCCATAAACATAATATGGGTTTCTCCACATAGGATGGGACCCATAACTCAACATATTCATCAACCTAAGTTTTTCAAAGCTTAAACTAAACAATGATTGAGATTAAAAACCTTGTAACTTTTTAAGGGATGAATGTCCATACAAAGAAGAGGCTAATAACCCATTTCTAAGTTTCATCTAGAATTAAATTTAAATAAAAATTCATTAACAATTACAACATGGACTTAAAAACAATAAAGCAACTCCTTAAGCGCAAGTAATACAAAAGTGCACTAATTGGAGCATAATTAAAAGTGTCAATTCAAGTAAAAAGCATGTAAAAAGTCTATAAATAACAATGCATTAATGCCAAGATATCAATCTTTGATACCATTACTTTATTCAAAGATTTATCAACTAAACATCACATATTAACCGGTTGCCATTAAGCTAAATTAATTAAGAAAAGAAGAATCTTGAAAAAGGTATTGTTCCTTAATAATTAGACACATGGAGATATTAAAAATACTGTATACAAAGTGTGAAATACTCCCTTCATTTTCCTAGTGTAATTTTCTAAAACAACCATTTATTTTTAATTGCAGCACTAGGCTATGTCTAATTTTTCTTTAAAAAAAAAAAGAATTTATACCAGATTAGAAAAAATAAATTTGGATCAGATCATAGATCAAATTAGAAAAAGTAATTACAAGCTCTGATCAAAATATATCATTTTATGTGCGATTTTTATCGCTATATATTTTTAATTCTGTTTTGAAAATAAATGTGAAATTACATATTTGGAAAATACATATTAATTAACATATATGATAGTAAGACCCCATGTCATATTTTTTCTAGATTAGCATATACATATAGCAAAAGTTTAGCGAAATGAAACAATTACATCAAATAAAAAATAAATAAAAAAAAAACATTCAGATTAAATCAAGAAAAAACAAAGTTCAAATTAGATCGTATAAGCAAAAATAAGGTGAATTAAACATAGCTTTAATCTTACAAATGGAAATGAGTATTTTTTTTATTCTCTTTCTTCTCATGTTCCCACTATAAGTCTTTTATTATTTATTTATTCAAATAAATTATAGTATTAATAACCAATATATAGGCTGAACAAAATTATTTGAAAAATGAAAGCTCGATCCGGCATTTGATCTGTAAATTAGGCTACTTGATTTGCTCACTATAATGGTTCAGGTATTCGTTCCGATAATTTGTTATTTGGTACAATTATTGGTAACGTGTTACAAGTGATGAGTACTCGATAATAATCCGATAATTTTTAATTACCACTACATACTAAACTACATTTATCCAATATCTAAACTCTTAAAATGTTTGTACTCGCATTAGAATTTGAATAAATAGTAATATTGTCGGTGGAAGCAATTTTATTTTAACAAATAAACTCATTATATGCAAGACGGAAAATTAATCGGACACTTAGGCACTGTTCAATTCATCTTTAAAAAAATAATTTCAGTTCAGGAATATAAAAATCAGTAATGGTAACTTTAAAAAAGAAATATAATAGAATATCAGTAAAAATAATTTCAAGTTTTCAAAATAAAATTATAACAATAAATAAATATAATGAATTTCTTAGGAAAATTAATGTTTCCAAAAAAAAAAAAAAAAAATAGAGCCTTATGAAATGACTAAAAAAAATCTAATTTGATATAGAGTAATAAATTTCAGAAAAAATCTATATACCTATACAAAAAGCAGAGTGTTTTTTAGGAGGGAATTTTCCCTCCTAAACGCAATTTTTTTTTGGTAAAATAATTAATTTGCTATACTTAATTATTTATTTTATGATTAACTTTTTAAAAATTTTCTACAGACTTCTATGTTTGGCTTTTAATTAGGATAGTTTTCAAATGGCTATTCTAGATCAAATCTCAGCCATTCATTAGATTTTGACTAATCCAAACCTTTTATTGGGAAGACTTTGTGGTTTACAAAAATAATTTGACAAAAAAAAAAAAAATGAAAAAACTACTATACGCGTTGGTTCAATTTCTATCCTTCAATTACTCTGTACTTTGCTTTGCTCCATCAAATCGTTCATTTGCGATTATTGTTTTATGAAAATACATCACAAATCCTCACACATACTTCATGGGATGATGGATTTGGGTGATTTATTTTAAAAGTAGGATGATAATGATGATGAATGTTTAATTTGGGTGTGGAAAAATCCAATTACCCCTTAGTTAATTCTAAACTAGTTTTTCGGCTCGTTCTATGTACGAATTGCGCATAAGTTATGATTCATACTTAAAACTCACAAATTACTGAATAACTTTATTTCAACGTCTTTTCACATATTAAAAAAATTAGCTTAAAAGATTATATAATCAAATTATTTAATTTCATGGTAGTTAATTAATAATTCGTATTAAAAAAACTAAATATCAAACCTTGCTATAATATTATATTTTTACATCAAAGATAAATTTCTTTACCAAACAAATTTCTGCTGTGAAAGTACGCTTAATATATATTTTACATCAAGATAAATTTCTTTACCAAACCAATTTTTGCTGTTAAAGTACGCTTAATATATATCCTGAAAATAATGGCCTAATGACATGCAAGGAATGTTATACTGTGGAATTTCCATAATGTTCTTACATGAAACTCCTTATTTTTCTTGACATATTCAAGTCTCTCTTCTTTGTAGCCTCAAAATTTTCCTTTTCAATCATCATCTTCATTGTAGCAAAATATTACATAGAATTTTGAGAGATATTTCTCTAATATTTTTATTGGAACTTAGGTAGTGATGGGAAAAAATCTTTAATGGAAATTTCGTATTTATATTAGAGATTGGGGGAAGATAAGGGGTCAATTAATTAAATGACAAATGTGAATAGATTGAATATAAAGATAGAGGAAGATGAGGAGAAGTTGAATAAAATTTAATATGTTGAATTTAAGTGGAGGTTATATAATTTAAACAGTTATTGAGAACTAAAGGGTGGAGCTGGAGAAGTTCAGTGTAAATTTAAGAAAGTAGAATGATTATAGAGAAAGGTGATAGGGGAGGAGGACACGTGGCTACTATGATTTGTGTTTTTAAATAACTTGTATGCTTATATGGCTCCATGGAGATGTGAAGTAGATGTCCCTTAGTTTAGAGGCAGAGAAACCATAAATGGCGACAAAATAATGTTTTAGTAAGAAATACAGTTTTTTTAGTTATATTTTTATGTCAAAAAACTACAGGAACGAACTAGATTGATTGGTAAAATTTAAAGGGTCAAGATTGAAAACAGTTACAATGGCTACATTTATTGTAGCCATTGAAAAGTCTTCCTTGAATTTTAATTACTTCCTCCGTTAATTACTTCCTTTACTACGGAGTAGATAATTTCTTAGCAATGTTTGATTTTTAAAATTTAGTAACTTTATTTTTGTTTATCTTGTTTGGTCTGGTCTGATTTGATTTGATTGTCTGATTTGACCAAAATTTGACCTTATGTGTACGATAATGAGTAAGGAAAAAATATATCAAGTGGGATCTTGTTAGATTCGTAATTATGTATACTTTATTAATATGTAATTTTCATAATTTTTATTATTACAAAATTAAAGATATGTAGCGATAAAATATTGCACATAAAATGATAATAAGTAAAAATAAGTTGAACTAAACAAAGCCTAAGTGAACAACTTCAACCCTGTTCACTTCACCTTAAAAAAATAATATTCAGTCAAAATAATTTCAGTTCAGTAATAATAATTTCAGTTTAGCAAAAAAAATTTTAGTTCAATAAAAATAAGTTCAGTTTAGTAAAAATAATTTCAATTCAGTAAAAATCAGTAACTTTAAAGAAGAAATATAACAGAGTATCAGTAAAAATAATTTCAGTTCATTAAAAATAATATAATTTCACTTCAGTAAAAATAATTTCTGTTTAACAAAAATAAGATAAAGTGAACAATACCTTTATTAAAGACGAAGGAGTATTTGATACCTAATGGCGTACGTAATAAGCATGGCGCAAGGCTAAAAAATTTCCTTACCTCCAATTTCAGATTTTAAAATCAAATCATTTTTATTCTTTTAAAAATGTTCTTCTTCAAAAAGACACATTCTCTCTGACTTTCCAAAACATATAAAAATACAAACCAACCATTCAACAAATCAAAAAGAACCCAGAATTCCTAACTCTCTTTGCAAACCACAATATCAATGGCGAAGAGAGAGAATGGAATTTCCTTCGATGGAATCATTGGAGCTATGCCGGTTTTTGCCAAAGAGCTTATTGCCGGCGGTGTTGCCGGCGGCGTCGCTAAGTCTGCCGTAGCACCTCTTGAACGAATTAAGATTCTTTTTCAGGTGATTTTCCGATCTTCAATTACTTTTAATTTTGTGCTTTATTTCGATTATTATTGTTAGGCTTCGATAATTTAGAGGTTTTAATTGTGAATTTTGCTTGATTTGAAGTTTTTGTTTGAGGTTATTTTTGATTTTATGATGAAATTAGTTTGTTATTGAGTGTAATTTGGATTGGAATTATGCAAGTTAGGTTTGGATTGGTAAAAGGTGATGATTTTATAATAATCTTGGTGAAGTAGTTAGGAGGATAATTAAGTAGTTGAATGATGCTTCATGGTATATGATGAGAGCCGGGAAGCGCGAAAAGGATGTGTTTTGATGGGATATAGTTGGAGGGTAAGTTGTTCTGTGAATGAAGCTATTGTCAAAATTAGGAATAGAAGATGATAATGAGAAGGAAGTGTAATTTGCGGATGGATTTATATGAGTTCCTATTGAAGGAGCTTAAGTTGTGTGCTACTTATATAGTCCTGATAAATGGAAAATCATTGCTGAGAAAAATAAGGTTAGTATAATGGTGAAGTTTTGGCTGGATTGATTATTTATTGGAGTACATTGAAACTATTGGTGTGTTGGTTGAAGCTTAAAGAAACTTGATAATTGGTGACTGCTGACTGATTGCAGGCGTGGTATTAGATGGTACGAGTATGACATTGGTGGGTGTTTTTTTAATGGTCGAGAGTAGTAAATGACTGCATATACGAAGTAGAATTTACTTATTAAGCTTAATAGTGTAGTGAACTGAAAGTAATTATCTTTGGTTAAGAGTTACTGGACTTACCACATTCCCCCCGGGGGGGGGGGGGCAGGGGGATACTCGTGAAATACCGTTTGGGAAGGCAGTTGGTCCTTATGGTTAGAGATACTTGAGAGTCTTGAGGTGCTTATTTAGCAGTCAGTAGGGTTGAGCAAAAAATCAGGAAAATCCAAACTGATATTTTAGGTTTAGCGTCAGCTTTTTTGTTAATTTTAAATTATTCAAAATCAAAATTGAAGATTGAACTGAAATACAAGTGACCGAATATCACTTGTACATAGGCTAAATTGCCGTTCCTTTTATGTGTGTTTGTTCTACATTTTATTCTGTATTTTATTCCCAGTAGCACCCCTCCATATCAAGCACCACCTTGCACTGCCAATCACGAATTTACCATCACCACAATCACCAAGATGCTGACAACCAACTACTTCAATGATATAAAGAGTAACAACCAAACACCTCAAAAACCAACAAAAACCCCAAGTCCTCTGCCTGTACTTCCTCCCTCAACCAAGTTACACCTCTAAACCATGATTATATCCTCATTTCTGCTTCCTTTAGTAGAGAGGGGAAGAAATGCACCTAGGAGCATTGTTCAAGAGCTGACAAGGAAGAAAACATATGTAGACAGAAGCTTCTGTTATCAACACTATTTTTCTTAAGGAAAAAGATTTGTTGACAGTACTTAGATAACAATAACCTAGAGGAAGGGTAGGCCCATATTTGCCATTGAATTTTACCAAAAAGGTTGCAATTTTGAAACCTTGTTGGCTGTATTAGAACTTGAGGCTGTTCAAGGTAGGGCAACTTTGAAAGCCAAGCCCTCTATTCTATATGGGGCAAGGTGAAAGGCTACCCAGCTTCTTGTAAGCAAGGCAGAATCTTTACCTATTATCTTGGGAAAGCTATATGTGGAAATAGGGGAAGAAGCAGGAGAGGCCCCCGAAAGATAAAGAAATTAAGGAAAGAGAAAGATCCAATTGAATGTCCATCTGCAATCAGTGCCATATCATGGAGTATAAGTGCCTTTTACCAGCTTCAGGAATTGACTCTTGCCTTGAAAGAATTCACACGCGGCCACCAGCTTTCCCAAAATAAGGGGATATTTTCTGCTTACTGCTCACGAAAACATCCGACCTATACTATAAGTCCAGTCGTCCGCCTATCTTTATGATCTCCTTTCCTCAGTAGAAGGAACACAGCCGATTCGGAAACATTCTCCGATTCCTCTACAGAATATGGTTGAGCAAAAGAAACCGACTCAGCAACAAAGACAAGTGGTAGCATACTATGTTTCCTCATAGGATTAGAAGACAGAATCTGGTTCTGTGGGGGAAGGAAGACCTGACTTCAGGAGTGGAAGTTAAGTTCCTACAAAGGAAGATTCATTAGTTCTATTTAAGATTCTTATTCAAGATTTTTTCTTTTTTTTTTTCAAAAGTGGAGAGTGCTAATCACTTACGCTAGGAGAGTAGAATGATAGAAGTGCTATTGTTCAAGAGTTTGTTACAGAAACGATAACCGGGTAAATAAGGAAATTAGTAAGGAGTTTGTTATACATCTATAGTGAAGGAAAAGCATGTGGGAGAATGTATAAAAAGGTGATGGAGACTCATTGTATGGGCTTCCAGAGAACTAACTGCCAATTTCATTATAGTATTGGGAGAGAATTTATCTTTTGAAACTATCTAAATTCTCTGAATTATTTTCCAATTATGTTATTTGGACAAGAAGTAGCAGAGATGATTGTGATAGTGAAACGAAGAACGGAGGTGGTAATGGGAAGACAAATGACAATGAGAAGTGAAGGGGGCGGGGGTGCAATGGTGGGAGGAGAAGTGGTGTAGTTAGTTTGGTGGGTGTTAAATATATATATAATACATATAAGCAAACCAATTTCTTATTTGAACTTAATACTTTCTTGATTTCTTTCCTTTTTTCCATTGTAAACCAAAGACGCGTTAATGGTCTTACTCAACTCTACCAACTACTTTTTTGTTGTATGAGAATTAGGCTATGTTCTATCATCATTAAATCGGAGATACAAAATAAAGAAAAAAACCATAGATCTTGTTATTTGTGTTTGCTTTTTGCTGGAATTTTGTAAGATTTATAATTATTATAGATATTTGAATATACATCAATGCAATTCTAATAATTCAGGGTACAAGTATGGTCAAGTTCAAACAAACAAGGAGATAAAATTAGATCAAACCAGACTTAAAAAAATTGAGACCAATAGTTTTAGAGTACCTTACTGATCTTACGTACTTTTAGTTGATATTGAGTGGGTTCAGCTGAGTCACAGTTATTTAATTGAAGGACTGGGTGGTTGCACATGGCATATTGATTGACTCAGCAACTATATGTCTTGTTTCCTTGAAAATATTCCGTTCTTTTGCAAGTTGTAGTCATTTGAGGTAACTTTTTTTCGCTATTTAATCACCTGAACTATGCAAGGCCTTTAGGGTTCCCCACGGAAGCTTTAGTCTTTCAGCTAGTGCCTACCTTCATCAAAATAGCTGAAATTAACCGAGTTTCGATGAAGAGATTTGTGGAGCCCATGCTAATATCAGATGGGTCCCCCTTCCCCACTTTCCAAAAGTAACTTCAAGCTAGTTTATGTGGAATGCATCACTGATTTAATCGACCAATCATTAATGACTAGAGTAAAATCCTTGTGTTTTTGACTAGGTGTTTCCGTGTTGGTGATCTTTGAATTCATTAGATTTTAAACTCCTCGGTGAATCGGTGATGAGGGTCAATCTGAGGATATTATCCTATGAAAATTAGCAATGAAGATGCCTTATATACCCTTGAATGAGACATGAGCTGAGATTAACTTTCAAGTTTCTCTTAAACAATATTTGATCTTAGGCCATCTGGCATATGTATAAAGTCCGTAGAAAAAAGTTCACTGAATTCAATCACTAAAGCTTCACATATCACGACAGCATCATAATAAAAGACTTTGGTCTAAATGAACCCAAAATTTCGATCAATTCGTAAGAAGAGATGGAATTCAATCTCTGAAGTATATACATGCTATATGTAAATTCTTTCTTTTTCTTCATAACTGTTCTCTTGACGGCCTTAAAAATTATGATCTTTTGTCATACCTTCAAGCTTCTAAGTGAACTTTACTGGTATAACAATGAAGCTAGAAAATATAACAAAAGTTATTATTTTGCACATCTACTAATTTGAAAAGTTCACAAAGAAGCTAGAAGGTATAACAAAAGATCTTTTTTTATTTTCCACATCTACTAATTTGAAAAGTTAATCTGTAATTGACTATAACGTATATCGCCTTTTGTTGTTTTGTAGACAAGACAAGCAGAATTCAAAAGTATTGGTTTGAAAGGCTCATTTACTAAAATAGCTAGAACAGAGGGAATACTCGGTTTCTACAGGTGGAAATTTTAAACCCAGATACATTTTACCAAGGGGGTAATATTTAGACAAATTCCAATTTTGTTTAAAATTCAAGTGAATTAGCTGTTTGCATTAACATTTTGGCTCTATTTGGACTGGATTTAACTTTTATTGAAAAAAAAAAAAAAAAAAAATCAAACATCAAGTTACACTAGGATTCAAGATTTAGGATCCAAGTTTAAGTTGAATAATTCATCTTTGCTATTAGCAATTTGCATTTTTGGAATTTGATATTCGTTTCATTGATTATATTGTTATTATTACCTCCATTTCATATCATTTGCAACATTTGCCAAAAATAGATGTTTCATATAATTCAACAAATGTTTTCTTTCTTTTTTGAGTTGTCATTTCTCTCTATCTCTCTCCTCATCACATGCATCTCTATCTTTCTCTCTCCATCTAACACTCAAAAACAAATTTTGCCTATAAGTTCGTGTAATCCTCTAAAGCTGTAAATAATAAGAAATAGAGGTAGTATTTAAATATCACAAGACTCGAATCAATGCAGATGTGGACCGGTTTTTTTTTTTTTTTTTTTTTTTTTTTTTTTTTTTTTTTTTTTGCCGGGGGGTGGTGGGGGTCTATTAAAAGTGAAAATTAATCCTGAAATTCAGTTTGGGTATAACTATAGTATGAAACACTTTAAATTTGGTTGACTTGACATAATCTGGATTGAACTTGTTATTAAAAATTGAACCAATATGGGTTTGGCATTGGGAATTTTTGTATCCCTGCATTACTGTCTCCTAACTATTTATACTGAGTGGGTTATGTTGTTTCTTGGTAACATAAGTCTTATAAGGGTATTCTTGTCAACTTCAGAGGAAATGGGGCAAGTGTCGCACGAATTGTTCCTTATGCTGCGCTGCATTACATGGCATATGAGGAGTACAGGCGATGGATAATTGTTGCTTACCCTGATGTCTGGAAAGGCCCAGTGCTTGACCTTGTTGCAGGATCTTTTGCTGGTGGAACTGCTGTTATTTTTACTTATCCCCTTGATTTAGTGCGGACCAAGTTGGCTTATCAGGTAAACACATGGACAAACAGCTTATGTTTCTTTCCTTAGAAAATGTTCTGTCGGTGTCTTGTTTCAACTTTCATGGAAGTGTTCTAGTATACATAAAATGTCTCATAGCGGCTGAATGTGGGGTTTATTTATAGCACAGGTTGTTGGATCTTCCAATTTAAATGTTAAAGGCCTTATCCACCATGAACAATTGTATAAAGGAATTCGTGACTGCTTTTCCATGACATTTAAAGAAGCTGGTTGGAAAGGTCTTTACCGGGGAGTAGGTGTGCTGTTTACATGAAACTGTGTGTTTACTTTAACTATGTCTACATTTTATGGTCTTTTACTTACATGTTCTATTTTTTTGTCAGCACCATCACTTTATGGTATATTCCCATACGCGGGATTAAAATTTTACTTCTACGAGGAGATGAAGAGGCATGTACCTGAGGAACACAAAAAAGATATATTGGTGAAATTAACATGCGGCTCTGTAGCTGGATTATTGGGCCAAACCTTCACATATCCTCTTGATGTTGTTAGGCGGCAAATGCAGGTAGTTCAGCTCTACCTTCTAGACTTTTGATGTGATATCTATAGATTTATGTGGTTTAGATGTTGTAGAACCCTAAAGGGCTGAAAAGAGGATTTATCTGACAGGTAGAGCGGATGTCTAATGCTAGTAATACAAAGGGAACTTTACACACACTTGTCGCAATAGCTCGAGAGCAAGGCTGGAAGCATTTGTTCTCAGGGCTAAGTCTGAATTATTTGAAGGTAACTAAGCTATGGATCTCTTTCAAATTTCTAAAGCCTTCCAACCCAATATATGCTTAAGAGATATCTAGTTTACATGCATTGTCATTGACTTTTGTGCTTCAGGTTGTGCCCTCGGTGGCAATTGGCTTTACTGTGTATGATTCAATGAAATTGTTCCTGCAAGTTCCCTCACGGGATGAGGCCATTATTGAGGTGGCTTCCAGTCATACAAATAACCAAACATCGTCCCTGCATTCTTAAAAGGGATTCATTATATAATAGTTATACACTGATTCAGTATAGCATTGAGTGATTCAATTGTATGTAGGTATCATTATTGACTTCAGTTGTATATAAATACCGTCTTGTTATACTGCTTATTGTATCCATCTTCCCAACATTCAAGTCATATGAATGAATGTTTGGAATGAAATGATAAGGATTTATTTTTTCCCAGTGAAATGAAGTAATTAAAGAATTCTCAATAGTCTTCAAATTTCTTCCTTATTTTGCTAGTCTAATCTGGTGCAGATCTTTGCAGCATTTTCATAATTTGTAGGGAGTTTGAAGTGAAAATATTCAGTTTTATTCGTCCCACATGTAGTTCAATATGATGCCACGGCGATTGTGCCTACACTGAGAAGGTGCCAAGTTATGCTAGGTTAACAAATCACTTCAATTTCACTATTTTTCATCTCTTCTGTAATCAATCTCAGAAAAAACTTGGTTACAATATTGATGATGTGTAGTTATGGACTTCATTATTGGCTTCTCTTAGTGTTCAAACCTCCATATTGACTGATTTTGAGCCCTTTCTATATGGAGTATTTATACACTTGCCTGCTAGCTTTTAGGCTATGCTAGGTTTAAAATAAAACATTTGATTATATGTATTATGGAAAGTATATTGCAATGGAAATCAGATCTTCAACTTCATATTCATGTGTTTGTTTCTTTGCTAGGAAAGTATATTAGAAACAAAGAAGGTAAGAGAATGGAGAGGAAAGTTTAGAGAACCACAAGCGTAGGTGATGAAAATTGATCCCAAACTCCCAGTGTTTTCTAAAATTGGGAGAGAAGCTTTAACTTCTTAAGCTATCCCTCACTCTCTCAGGAATGGAGAGGAACTTAGTATTCCTTAAGTTTCAGCTTTTTTTTTTTTTTGGGAATAAATTTTTTAAACAAATCATAAAAAGGAAAAAAAAAAAAAAAAAGGGGAAGACTAAAAAACAATCATTGCTAGATTACAATGATGGTCATGAGGAAAAAGATTGTTGGCACAAAGTAAGCCAGAATGCTTAAAATGTCAAAATTTGGGCATTTGACAAAGAATTGTAGGTTCCCAAGTGATGACCAAGCATCTATAGCATAAGTGGTCATGGAAGAAAATTTACTTTAGAATTATGAGTGAGATGTGCACCATGGAGAGAAGTGCTCCAATGATTTTGGTTTTGGTGAGATGCATGAACAAATCAAATGTGTAGTTCATGGAAGGGCAGCACTACATGAAAGAGATTTTCTCATGAGATCTTCACAAATTTAAAGCAAGGGGGTGTGATTAAGTTATATTTCAAATCATTTATAGTTAGTGGGCTATTTGTTTCATTATTTTTAGTCATTAGTCAAGTTTGTTTCTATTAAGTCATTAAGCATGTGTTTAGGTAATGAGAGGTGGATTAAAGTAGTGGGACACTAACTTAGCCACTTCCTCTACATTTCTAGCATTATTAGGTTAGTTTTAGGATGATTTTGTTTTGTTTACAATTTATATACTAACAAGTTATATTCTTGTCTTTCAATGTGAGCTAGTTTCTTATTCCAACATTCTCCACTATCGTAACATAGTACTTATTAAATCGGTTTTTTATTTATTTTTTATTGTTTTTTTTTTTATTCTTAAACATAAATTCATAATTTTTAGTTTTTATAATTTGACTATAATATGTAATACTTCATTCATTCACTTTTAACAATAGTATTTGCAAATTGACGCTTTCATATTTTAACAATTCACCTTCTTTATTGATTTATATGTCCGGCAAAATATAGTCAAGTGGGATATTATTAGATTCATCTTTTATATTTGCACAATACTTAATTTAAAACTTTTTTTTACTTAACTTAAAAGGTTAAAATTATTTATTGACAGCCGTAAAACTAAAAGTGTTGCAACTAAAAGTGAACAAAGGCTTATTGTATTTAACACTATTAATATTAAAATAGTAGTTTACTCTCTCCGTTCCTTATGCAAATGTAAAAAAATAAAAAAAAAATAAAAAAAAATATAAAAAAAAAACATAAGAAGCAATTAGTTTACTCTCTCCGTTCCTTATGCAAAAATAAGGTCAAATTATGAGCATTGACATATGTGCAAAGTTTAACTGTGTCAATTAATATGTGCAAAAATAAGGTCAAACTGTAATATGCATGTTGTTACCTTGGCATTAATATAAAGTTTCATAATAATAATTTTTTTTAATAATTTTCATTAATATTTAATTATACAAAAATAAGATCAAATTATGTGCATTGATATATGTGCAAAGTTTAATTGTGTCAATTATTAGGAACATAGGGAGTTATGTAGAGTATGTTTCTCATGATCTCATATTCACATCCCTTAATGATTGCTAACCGAATTCAATATGATTGAGCTAACGTTTTATTGTGGCTAGTGTGCATTGTGGACTATACTTTCTTCAATCGGATAATCTTGTATACGTAATAAGGTATTGATCAAACTCTTTTGCTTGTCTTTATTTATTTATTAATTAAAATAAAAACAAATGATGAAATAATTAAGAGTCAAATACCTCCATTTTCGAGCCATAAGTCTACGGTTAACAAGTATAAATATCAAGAGTTGCGGCTAGTTGGATTTGATGACGAGAAGTCGTTATTCATTCAGTTGTCTTCCATTATTATATTCAGAATTTCAGATTCGTCTTTAGTGTTAGACCATGTGAAAGTAGTTTTATGTTCATATTGTAGACGCTTGAAAAGGAATCCTTAATTTTTTTACGAATCATATGCATTATGCCGAACCAGTTGAAGATATACAACACTATTTTTTTTTTGTTTTTTTTTTTTTGGTTTTTGTGAGAAAGATCTCGTAATATTATCTATTTTTCTTTAATATAGATTTGGATTTTCACTCTTTCATTAGAAAATAATTAATAATATCGCCAACATCTGCCAAAAAAGTTGTTATTGGTAGGAGTATAGTTATCGCCCTTGGAGAGTGAGGGATAGCTCAAGTGGTTAGAGCTTCCCTCCCGATTTCAGGGAATCCTGGGATCGATTCTCATCATTCGCCCTTGTGGCTCTCTAAACACCAAAAAAAAAAAATAGTTATCGTTCTTGTTTTATGGTTTGTTAATTACATCATATTTGTGCACTAGAAGTATTTACAAAGGAAATTTTGTCAATTACTACTTAAAAAGGGCACCTTGTACCACCTCTAGCCATTTCTCGGCGAATTAGTGCAATTATAAACGTCACTTATCACCTTAAAACTAATTACATTAAAACTAGTAATGGAAACCATTGATAAGTGATTTAAATTGGATTAAAATAACATGTATGAATTAAATTTTATGACTAATATTTTTTGGCTAATAATTGACGTTATAAATTACATTTTTTTTTGGCTATTAAGGTGATTAATAGGTCATATGGCTATTAAGGTGATTAATAGGTCATAAAATTGAGATTATAATGACACAAACTACATTTAAGGTATAGTAATAAGTAATGTCATAATTGGTTTAATTCACCGGAAAATGGTTGGAGGTAGTAATTATGTAATATCTGTTAAGGGTAGTAATTAACAATATATTTTACATTTAAGATAATAATTAACAATGTTGTTTCTTTTTTAGGGTAGTAATTGACAAATATTAGTGCTACTCTTAAGGTGCAAATTAGTTGGTGCACTTGAGTGTATAGCTCTCATCAGCTCATGGTATACCCGATCAAAATAACTTAACATATTTTCTTTAATTATATTTTAAATTATTAACTATTATTATGCTCATAATTTTTTTTTTTTTTTATACTATCCCATGTTCCTTTAGTTTTTGAAAAAAAAAATTGAATATGTTTTTCTAGGTTAGACATGTTTTTTAATTTTTTTTTTTTTTTTTTTTTTTTTTTTTTGGGGGGGGGGTGTTTGGTTGGTTCATGTTGATCATTTATTTGTTTTTAGATCTAGTAACTTTAGGGTTTAGGGTTCATGTTCATGTGTTTTAGCCAACATATGTTAATTGAATTTAGCCTGTACGTTCATTGGTTCGGACGAATAGTGAACATTGTATATGCAGGTACACAAATCAGTAATATAAATGCCCTTAAGGCCAGGTTGCATGTAAACTTTTCGATGGATGTATTAAGAATGTTGCATTGTACACACGGAGTACAAGTATTTAGAATGTAGGACAAAATCACACATCGATTGATCAGATGTACTTGTTATTGTTTAATCTAGTTTAATATATCCACTTCTAGCTTCTTATGTGCATCCTTTTATATCAATTTCCTCAAATGAATAAAGAAGACACTGAATATATTGAAGCATCCAAAAATGGAAAGTAGTACAAAGTATGTTACATTCATTACCAAAATATTATATATGGTGAAGTTACAAATAAAAGCAGCAGCCTAGCATGGCCAACAGCGCAGCAACTCTTACAAACACAACCTTAGCTTCTAATTAACCACGAAATTAAGGTGTATTTGAATTATTATACTTCAATGGCTCAGTGATGAAGAGTTCATACATATTATTCGTTATGTTTTTGGTTTGTGATCGAGTAGCTTATTAACAAGAAAGGTTATTTCCAGGCGAAACACCAAGCTGCTTACAGTATTGAGTATAGTAACCAACACGAGCATTGACAGCAGGTGTGTTTCCACCACCACATTCTCCGCCATTGACTGCTCGAATGGTGGATCCGAACCCTTGGCCGGATACGATCCTAGAGTGGACATTGTTCATCCAAAACCAGAATGCTGTCTTGAAGGCAATTACTGGATTGTTGGCAACTGTTTCTGGTGCATTTATACCGTCGAATCCGATGCTTTTACCTGCAGCTCCGTAGTTGTAGTTCCATGTGATCTGAATTGGTCCTCTGCCGTAGTATTGCTTGTTTGGGTTGCATGGCCATTGTGCACTTGATTGACAATAGTTTGATTTCGCAATCTCCTCTATGTAGCAAAAATCTACAATATAAAACAAAGTTTAATTACTCGTTTATTTATAGAGTACTAGATCTATATACACGCGATACATGTTTTACATTTTAAAATTTTAAAAACACCATCTATTTTAAAACCGTAAGTAAAATTCACGGCTTTTTTAGGTGGACACCACTATCTCACCCCTTGGTTTATATAATAGAAACACGTACGTTTTTATAATATCTTATCATACTTTAAAAACAAAGTTGCTCTGCCAAGAATTAAAGGATGATATTATGATAATAAGATGTTCAAATACTAAATATGAAGTATAATTAAGCATGAAGAAAAAGTTCTAATAAACACTTACGTCCAGTTTCATGGGTGACATGAGCAAAGAAGGCGGCGACTTCACGCTTAGTATCATCGGAGGATCCACCTTTGCCGAACTGAGGATAGTTATTAAGAGCGTTCAAGAAAGCAGATCTGCTGTAAAAGCTCTTACCAGCACAGCCAGAGCCTGCTTGGTTAAGAATCCCATTAAAGAACGCGTTTGTCACCAAACTTTGTACCGAAGCACCACCACCACCTGATGGGGTTGGGGTTGAAGAGTAACAAGGGCCTTGTTGGCACCCGTCGCCACAGTAGGCTGCGGTGGTGCCACAATAACCATATTTGCTACAGCAAAGGCCGGAAGCACACCCACAGTTTTGAGCGGTAGTCATTGTGCATGACATACAAGCAATTGCCACGAGTATGGCGAAAATTTGTCCTAGAGACGACATTTTTGTTGTTGATGTTTTGAGTATGTGATGACTGATGAATTTGACATTACAAAAATGGGTTTATATAGAGATCATCTAGGAAAGAAAGCAAAGTAAATGTATGTAGGATTAATTTTAATACGTTCAAAATGTTGACATTTGACTTTGGACAGTCGTAATATGCGACTAATATTTTTGACTTGTTCATGACTTTCATGTAATGAGTGATAGTTTTTTTTTTTATTAAAAAAAGAAAAAAAAAAAAAAACGTAATGATTGATTGATATTAAGTATATTTTATGGATAAGGCCATTAATACTATTAGGGGATTCCCCACCAAATGTTCTAGTAGGTGATTTCGAAGTTGTGACTAGCTTTTTGATGTTTGATCGTTCCCTTCAACTTGTTTTGATTTGCGATATACTTAAGTTTGTATAAAAAAGTTTATAAAAGCTCATATTGTAATTTAAAGAATCTAATAAAGCACCATAATGATCTTCTAGGAAGAAATTGAAGAAAATATGGAATATTATTTCCTTTGTCTTCAAATAAAAGTTCAACTTTAATGATTTCACCACGCACTTGCATGCACCCCGATCCTCAAGATAAAGAAAAATAGTCAAAACTTGATATACTAAAGATATTTATCCATAAAACCTCATATAAAATGATAAGGTATGTTCAAAAATTTTTTTTTTTCAATTCTATCACATCTAATCAAAACTTGTTTTTCTGGTCTAATCTAATATAAGTAATAAGGTATTAAAATAACGTGATTGAAATAAACACATGGCCTTATATACGAGTAGTTAATATATATATATATATATATATATATATATATATATATTAAAATTGGTGAGAAGAAGCTAGTATGACTCAATTTTGGTGATTGATTTCACTACTTTATACAAAGTAATAATTTATTTCAAAATTATTTTAGGGAAAATTGATATTAATGGTCCCAATTTTCAGTCATCCGCTAAAAACAGTCCCACCTTTGATTATCCCATAATGGACTCAACTTTGGGGAATTCTTTCCAAAACGGTCCTAAACCTCAAATGACCAGGTTAACCGGTTACATGTACTAATGTCATGTTTCGCAATTATGTTGAACTTATTTTTTTATTTTTTATTTTAAAAAAAAAAAAAGATAAACTCTTCTCTCATACTGGCGGTCGGTGTGGCCAGGAAGAAAGAAATAGAGAAGGTGGTGCTCGTGGTGGAGAAAGAAAGAAGGAGATAAAAGGTGGTGGTCATGGTAGCTTTACAAGCTAGGGTGGTGGGTGGTTTATGGTCATGAGAGAAAAAGACAGAATGAGGTGATTTGATTTTGGTCGAGAAGGTGGCTAGAGGGGTCAATGGTTAAGGGGTGTATGGGAGGCAATTGGACTTGAGGGTGGCTTGGTAGGCTTGATGGTGAAAAAGGGTGAAGGTGGATAGAGATAGGGTGGTGGAGGTTTATTTTTTTTATTTTTTTTTTACACCGAACAAAAATACGCGTTTAGCTAGGAGAGTGAGTTGAATGGAGTATAATGTTGTGTAAGTGTAAGTATGATTTGTTGGGGAATAAAAAAAACTATTATACGACTTTATATAATAGAGATAGTTGGGGTAATAGTTTATATTAAAGTAAAAAGTAAGGAATGTGAGAGAAGATAAATAATACTCTCTCTGTTTTTTAAGGGTGACATGATTTTTTGCACTATTCATCTAATCCACTTTACCTAATATCAGTGATTTATTCATAAGAGAATATATAATCTAGTAGGTACTTGTTGGAATTGTATTAATGAATGTTTATTAATATTAATTTGTTATAATTTTTCCTTGGTAAGTAAAGATATTATTGGTCAAAGTTTTGCATTCGTGCAGAGTAGGAATGGCACACTTAAAAAAAACAGAGGGATATGTAGCCCTAAGGGCTATATATAAGCATTAAATACATTCTTGAAAATTGTATAAAATTAGGAATTCATGACAAAAACACTCGTATATCAGTATAATTAGTGTTTATATTTTTATGATTTCCTAAATTTATACGATTTTCTAGTGTGTATCTAATGCTTATATGTAGCCCTAAGGGCTATATATAGTGGGATCATGGCCAAAAAGCAAGTGATGCATTGATAGAAAGAACAACCGCAATAATAAAGTGACGCACTTAAAAGAAAAGGGGAAAGTATGCAGCCACATTAAATTTATGTTCCATAATTCCCTTCACAAGTCACATAAATTTATGATTTTTACATCAAATTCATTTTAAAAAGTGATGTTTTTGAACAAGTTCTAATCATTTTATGTGTAAATGTTGCTGATCTAATTTTAAGAGAATGACATATACTACCTCCGTTACATATTAGTTACAACTTTGGGTTATTATTTGTGAGACATAAAATATTCTAAAGTTGCAACTAATATTTAACGGAGGTACTAGAAAATGAGAAAAAGTCTTTAAAGTCATAAGTTCAAACCTCATCATTTATCAATCAACTTGTTTTTTTCTTGGGATTACTATGAATGGTGTCAATGCTATGCGTATATCTCCTTACCCAAAAAAGCCATTTATGTATTCATATGAATAATAAAATGTGGTCAAAGTTTGTATTCAAACAAAGTAAAAGTTAAAGTAATGAATTTATTGAGAAACAGAGGACATATATAAAATAAATTTGAAATAAATTATTCTTATTTTTTTTGAAACTAAATAAAATATTCTTATAAAAGTAGCTAGTGAAATCAATAAATTGCCAAATTGAATCATACTAGCTTCTTCTCATCAACTTTTTACGGAGTATATATATAGCTACTCGTATATAAGGCTAGGGCTGTTCATCGGTTCAAGACTGGACCGGACCAACCCGACCCGGATCAGACCGAGCACCAAAATTTTGAATTTCAAAAATTGAAGACCAGACCGATTAAGCTGGGACCGAATCCGAACTGGACTGAAAAAATCGGTCCAAAACCTAGATCGAATCGCTTTGGACCGATTTTAATTTTTTTTTTAAAAAAAAATTCGAAACTTTTAACAATTTTATGAAAAACTCGAAAATAATAAAGGAAAAACAATATTTTAACTTGTACGTTTAGTACAAAAAAGCTCATACAATCAATTAAAGTTTTTTAAGCTAAATAATTAAGGATAATCTTAATCATTTTTTAAGGATTTATGTATAATTTTAATCAAAAAAATCAGTTCGTTCCAAGACCGGTTTTTAAAGGATTTTGGAGCGGATCGGACCGAAAAATAAATTTCTCAACCCGGAGACCGGTCCGTCGGTCCAGTCCATTTTTTCAGTCCAGACTGATTTTTGCACACCCCTATATAAGGCCATGTGTTTATTTCACCTTATTTTGTTCAAGACTTTATTATTTATTTCAGATTATATTAGAAAAAATGAATTCATATGAGATCTAAAGATCAGAAATAAGTTTTTTATTTTGTTTAGTATTTTTTTATTTTTTTAATTGTTTTGAACATATTATTACATAGCTTTGAATATTTTAATTACAAAATAATATAACAGTGAAATTGTGCAAAAAAAGATATTGTCTCTGTTTTATATTTTGTGCAACATTTACGGAAAACAACGGCTACATACTCATACATTATGTGTAACGAACGAACGGTTCCTTTCCTTTTTAAGTTGTCATTTTTCTCTATCTCTCTCCCCCATCAAATGCATCTCTAACTTTCTCTCCCCATTTAACCCTTACAAACAAATTAGAATTTTTTATGTACATCCGGGTGCACGGTGCACCCAATTAAATAAAGGTTAAATTTTGTTCTAAATTTGATGATTTAATAATCAACAATCATCCAAGTGACTAAAAACTACACTTGGGTATGGTGCATTGTACACACGAATGTATATAACAATCTCTCTAAACAAATTTGCCTAAGAATCAACTTTTTTGTTTGCACCATAACAATTCCGCTACCTTCTTGCCACACAAACTTTTGGGTGCGAACTGCCGCACCCAATAGTTTGTGATTAATTATTGTATATCTACACAATTTTCAAATTCATTAGAAAATGAAAAGAATAAGAAGAAAGAAGATGACCCATTTCAATAGTTCAATAGAAAAGGGGAGGAAAACCCATTTCAATTGTTGTGGATGATTAAATGATGAAGATTAACTCAACTAAACAACAAACTATTTTGCACAATATCCTCTGCAAATAATTACACATCAATTAATTATTTTATCGGAATAAACTCTATTTTAACTCTAAAAATTGAAAAAACTAAGCCCTATATATGATTTTAATTCAAGCGAAAGACCAAGCAAAATTCTTTCATGTCGAAAAGGCTGAACAAATCAACGGGAAGATGATGACCAATATATATTAACAAAAACAATATTTTCGTTTTCTTTTCATCTTCCATGGATGTCGTTTCTATAGAATGATTGTAGTTCACAGTATTGAAGAAATGCACAGAATTTTTTATTTTAATTTCTTTTTGGAAGTTTTTTTAAGTAATTAAATATTGCATTGGAAATGACACAAAATTTGAAATTTAAAGATTAGGTTAACCTGAAATTTTAAAAGTAGTGGAATTTGGGGCCTAATTAAACAACTAATTAAAGGTTGTTATGTCAAATTGTATGTGTAGCCTTTTTCTCCCTTTTGGTCAAATTTGAGTCCCAAAATGTTCACCTAATTTGCTTATTCCAACAACCATTAATATATTTTTTTTTTATCAAAATTCTCTCCAATTTGCAACAATATTTGTGTAAAATTAGCTTCTCCATGTAAATTTTGCATTTCCATATACTTTTATTACTTTCTATTTTTATTTTTTTGCATATTCCATGTAAATTTACCTTTTCAATATACTTCTACTACTTCTTATTTAAGTTTCTTAATTTCCGTAAAATTTCACCAAAAAGGATTATCATTAAGGAAAGGAGGGAGTAATAAAAGAAAAGAGGGGAGGCGTTTAGGGTGGTAGTTAATAGAGAAGGTAGATCGTCATAAAAGTGTAAATACAAGAAAAGAGGAGATCGAGGTGCTTGGGAGAGAGACGAAGTGGTAGTAAGGAGAGAAATAGGGTTGTCGAGAGACAAGGAAATTTTCAAAACTTGGGAATAAAATGATAGCATGACATTATTGTTGTTAGCAGTACCATGCATGGGCATGGTATACATGTATCCAATTGTCCAAAATTTTCAAAAAACACAGCACGGTCTTTTTGAATAATGTCCAACACGTAATTAGGTATTGCTCATATGATGTGTCGAAGTTCGACAGTTGGATTGTGTGTCATTGTATTGTATATACTATATAGTATAGTCGTACAAACAATTATGCTATGGACATTTCGTCTTGCAACTTGCAAGGCACAATCCCTTTTTTTTTCTCCTAATAAGGAGATGATCTTTTGCTATAGCGTATTAGCATAGCCATATTTGTATAATTTGGAATTTGTAAGGGTATGCCTAATATTAATACTCTTTTAATAGCATTGCATAATTTATCTATTACTATATACTAAAGCAGAATTTCTTTTTGAGGGAATTTTCCCTTCAAAACTCTGCTTTATTCTTTTTTTTTTTTTTTTTTTTTTTTTAGATTTTTACATAATTATTAATCTTTCTAGGAGCATTGTTATCTAATTATTTGTTGTTATACATATTTTTTTACGCACTTCAAATTAATCTATTAACAAACTTCATTATTTATCTATTTATATATGGTTGACTATTGACTTATATCTATATAGAGAATTCTATATTTCAATTACTTTTCCGTATTAATTTTAAAAACCGAGCATGACTCAGGCGTTATCTAGTTTTGTTCATGTTAGTGCTATCAATCATAAGTTTGGAATATATCATATAAGATAAAATAAAATAAATAACAGCTAAATTATTTAGTTCAAATCAATACAAAAAGGTTAGTACTGTAACCTTCCCTCCCTTGCATTTAATTTGAAAAAAGGTGGCAATATTGATAGGAACTAGTCAATCAATTTTGACCATGCTAACTTCAAAATTGGCTCTTCAAAGTGAGATATAGGTACTAAGCTTAATTCCTCCCTTCTTAATACGGCATCTTGAATGAGTTCATTATAGACTATTTTTGACCAAAAAAAGATATGGAGAATATCCTCAATTTAATGTGCATAAAGCTAGCTACTTGAGTTACGTACAATGTGTGTGTGAAGAATTCCATTCAACAGAGAATATCACGGAATATGAGAATAATTTTGGTGAGAAACATAAAACCTCTATTACGTATTTTCTCCGTTCATTTTTAGTTGCAATATGTGAAAATGTACACTATTCACATTTTTAAAATTGACCTTCATTATTGATTGATATGTTGAGCAAAATTTAGTTATGTAAGATCTTGTTAGAGTCGTCTTAATTAATAATTTCGCAATATCTAATTTATGGAGGATTAAAATTATGCATTGGCAAACGTGAAAGTCAAGGTGTTGCAACTAGAAGTGAACGGTAGACCAATTGGTTAATTTTCCCCCTTTCAACCCATTTGCTCTTGCTAGGCTCTCATAATTGTGCCCACCCATATTCACCAACTTTCACAAGTTGTAATTGCTTCTTAACAAGGTGAACTAAATGCTTAAGACAATCTTATAGAAACAAAGAGAGTATTCAACTTTAGTTGATGAACTCGCAACTACAAAATGCGTTTGGATTTCTAGTAAACAAGTGATGTCCCTAACAAAATGCGGAAACTAGTGGTTGATTTTCTAGTAAACAAGTGATGTCCCTAACAAAATGCCCAGTCACTAATGGTGTGTATATAAGCAGTGAGGGTTGAGAGCAAAGGAAGATGCCAATAAAATTCTATTTTTAAGAAAATTTTGAGAATTATACAACACTTTTTAGCTTGCAAATACGTAATCCTGTCACGTACTAGTTGGATGAGCTCACTAAAAATGTGGAGAGTATGTTATATGGACTCTTTATTTCACCTCAAGAACTCATGTCGGACCCTCGACACTTGGACATGGATATGACATTTGGACACTTCATTTTTAGTTCAAAATCATGAAATTTTTCACAAAATAGCTGAGCCGGACGCTTGGACACGCACCCGTGTCGGACATGAGTACTCGAGTTCATGTAACATAGGGACTAGGGGGAGTATAAGCGATGTTGGTTATTATGAGATGGATGAGCTTTCCTATTACCCTTTGATATTTGGTTGCACTAAAGGGTCACATTGGTTTACAAACAACTTTGAGTGAACATCCAAAGGAACTCCAATACATTTGGACTAGTATGCAACCATATTCATTAATGAGATCCAAGGCATACAAAATTTGGACTGCTAAACAAAATTTGAGAAGATTTAGTATCTTGAATCCGATTCGATGTACATCAAATTTAACTGCTATCCTAAAACCGATTCAAAATTTGAAACCCAGCTCTTCGAGTACACATAGCCCATAATACCACAAGTATTAAACCACTTGCTAATTCCTCTTCAGGCTTCACCCAATCACCCACATCACTATCATTCTCTACTCCTGTTTCAAAAGTCAGTGACGATCAGTCAGGCGCATTTTCAGCAAGTATACACTCCCGGTGCTGTCAATTCCACCCGTCACCACAGGTGTGATGCGCTCTTGTTGGAGAATAGATAATATTTATATGCCTACTATACTTTCGCTGTCTTAGCTCTGCTTGGCTTTGTAGACTTGAAGTTAACCTTGCGTTTACGAAATGCTTCTGATTCTACATTCTCTTTCAACTTATCAAAAGCTGAAAAATCAAAGAGAAGACCGGTTTTAGCATATCAGATCAGAATACATAAGGTGGACATGAGCCATCATACACATCCTAATACAGAAGATATAACAGAAATATAGATTGAAAGGAGCAGTGGTACATTCTAGCATGGGAACATCAGAAGTAAACAACACCGACGTAATGTGGATACTTCCTCGTTTTTTAATACTTGCAAGACTACCCTAAAATGGAAATTTCATAACAACACACTACAATTGGAAAGTTTTTTTTGTTGAAAGTTGTACTATTACCCTTATTTTAAGCTCATAGACCACCAAATTATACTCCTAACAATCTCTCACCTCCATTTTAAGTGAATTATATCATGTAAGGCCCACTATTCTTAAAAACCGTAAAAAATTGTGTTGCAAGTATTAAAAAACAGAGGAAGTATATTAAAGAAGTTCAAGATTTTAAAATTTCAAGAAAATTCGTTCAATCCAACTACTGCAACATTTTAGAAAGAATTATAAGGCACGGAGAAACTAAATTAAATTTCAGAAACATCACATTTCATTCATAATGTACACGCCTGCAGGTAGGTAACTGAATTACCAGATGTGTAAGCAGGCTGAAGGGACTGAATTGACTCCGAAGAAAGAGGGAAAACTGTAGAGCTGATCTCTGCTTTCTGTTGCAGTGCCTTGAACTTCTTCATCTGAATTAGAGAGGTACAACTTGAATAAATTTATGCGGAAATCCACCTATCACCCCCTCCCCTCTTCACACAAATAAAGACACACAATACACACCCAAAACATATAAAAGTAAATAAAACAATTGTTTTATACGTATAAGATTGTTACATCGAAAAATCAAATCTCATGCTTAACAATATACTTAGGTAAACAGATACTCATATTTCAGAAAAAACAATAATATCTATACAAAAAATATCATTTACAAGAAATGTAAATCTAGTGATCATGCCACACTCCCTCCATCCCAAAACAAAACATCCATACTCTGAAATATGCACAGGAAAAGAAAAAAAGATGACAATTATCTCTTTCCTGATCAAGAAAAATATTTTTTTTATTCCACTCTCTCCATTACATCAATACTTTATCTCTTTAGACACACTCACTTGTGTTTCTTTTCCCGCCACTACCTATACCTGTCCTTATATCATTTTCAATGTCAAGAAGTTCAATTCAGGATAGTAGTTCAAAGTAAAATCATGTAATACAGGTAATTCAAAATTTCCAGTATGGTACTTCCTTTTCCATTCTTCGAGGGCATCATGGTTTAAGAAACAACGTTTTCATCACTTAACTAGACATACATACTTCCTCTGATCTTATTTTCCGTTGAAACACTTCACTTTTCACACTTGTCGATAGATAACTTCAACCATTAACATCCTTAATCATTAATAAGTAAAATGTAGGCAAATGAAAAAGTTATAATATTTTTTTTTATTATATACTTCGAGACAAATCTAACAAGATCTAAAGTGACTGTTTTTTTGTTATGTATGAATCACCAAAGAAAGAAGAACGTGTAAATAGTGCAAAAAATAGAAGTATTTTATCTAATTAAAACAGAAGTATATGTCAAAGAAGCGCAGCAGCTTACTTCATCTTTTAGAAGCAATGTAAAGCAGCGCCCTATTTGGAATGCTCTAGCTGTCCTTCCAGCACGATGAAGATATGCTTTGATGTAACGTGGCACATCATAGATAATGACATTTGCTACTGCTTCAACATCTGTTCCTCGGGACAGGTTATCAGAAGAAACGAGCACCTCCACTTCTCCTTTCCGAAATGCATCTAGTGTTTTGCTGCAAAACATGAGAAATTTACACTTCAATTTATGGCTTTTTCCTTGCACATTATTGAGACAAGTGATCAAATTAAATTTATCAATAAAAAGCAGAAAGCCAATACACCAAAAACATAGCAGATGTGATTTAAGAAGTAAATCCATGTATAACCATTTCTCAATCTAAATCCAGAAGTAGAGTTACCAGCATTAAATGCAAAACCTTATTTGCTAAAGAGAAAGGCGGGGAAGGGACTTAAATTAACAATACTAGAATGTTATCACAAGCCATTGTTATACCTAATCAAATTCAGAGTTTTATTGTGGAACTCTATAGTACACCAAAGATAAATGTATGGTAATCAAATTCTCTTCATGGTTATGCATGACTTCCAAGGTGTATGACTGGGGAGACAGGGGGAGAGGGTAGGAAGAGAGTAAGAGACTCATTTTTCAAGTTTAATATTAACAATACTTGTTTTAGTATAACAAACCTCTATATGTCAAACATAAGCAAAATAAGATATGCATCAAATTTTACCTCAGTTATTTATTTATTTATTTATTTTTTTTTCCAATTAGAATTTTACCGGTTATCCATTAGTAGGTCTTCACCAGCAAATAAGATCTCTCGCTAAAAGATACATACAGGATACAGCCATCAACTTTTCTCAGTTTTATGGGTCCTAAATAATTCCCAAGAACGCCAAAAGCTTACGGCAACAATTAACTTATTCCACCACATCCTCTGTCACAACTCGAAATTTTTCTTCCAGTACTCTAGTATGTGCCCGTTTTAACTAACAATAAATATTAATCCAACGCAGAATTAATTGCTTTAAAAATTGAATGAATATATTACTTCATATCAATATTACTTCTTACACATTCTAAAAAGCAATAGTGATGCATTATACTACCTCCGTTTCTTATTTTGTGCAGCTTTTGCCAAAACGGGATATTACAAGTTATGTGCAACAAAAAAATCTTTCCTTTTAAAGTAAATTTTTTTATGTAAATTTACCAATAAACCCTTTAATATAATCAACACCTTAAATCATATGATATTAACTTACGGGTCGTTTGGTTGGATCATTTGGAATGGAGTTAGAATCTATTTCATCTAGTTTTTTTTGTTTGGTTGAGGTTTTTAGTAATGGAATCTCATATCCAAAGGGGTTCTAACTACCCACATATCCATGGAATTCCATACCCACCCCTCCCTCTAAGATTCACAATCTATTCTATTAATGAAGGATAGAATCCATTCCAATAATAAAACCAAACAACTTTGGATTAGTATGTGTTTCAGAATCCATACCTCTCTAATATGAGATTCCATACCAATCCATTCCAACTTGATGAACCAAACACCCCCTTATATCCTAGCTTAATCATCCCTCAATTAAACCCTAACCTACCTTATCTCTCCAACCTCACAACCACATCCACCACCCACACCGACATTTTCTCTCCTCCTCAATCACCACCCTCACCACCAAGTCCACCATTATTCTCTCTCTTCTCTCACAACCACCGAACCACCACCATATTTTCTCTCCTCTCCCTCACAACAACCACCACCACCGGTAAATTTGACCGCCCTTCGTCACCGCCACTTCCTCTTCCCCCATAAAAGTCGTCATCTACCTTCCTCCTCGTCAAGGATAAATTTTCGCTGCCCCTACTTGTCAAGATCGAAGTTGCTGCCGCTCAATCTCCCCTCCTCGTCGAGATCGCTGCATCCTCTCCTCGTCAAGTCCATGCTCCTCATTGAAATTGAACCCTAAAGGTTGGTTTGTGTTGAGGAGTAGTTTTAGAGGTGGTTTTGATGGTTGCTACTTGTAGTTGTTGTGGCTAATTGTGCGTGAGTATGGAGTGGGATGGTGTTGTGGTGTGGTGGATGGGGGTGATTAGTGGTGGTGGTGTACCTGAGGGTGGTTTTGGGTAGGGTGTGGGCTAGGTGGGGTGGATGTTGGGTCGATTTTGGCGATTCAGTGGCTGCGTGGTAGATTTTGGGTGGGTTACTGGTGGTAGGGTGGGTGGTGGGTGAGTTTCTGGTGGTTTGGGTAGATGAGTGGTGGGTGGGTGTTGGTATTGGTGGTGATATGGTGGCTGTTAATGCTAATTTGGTGGGATGGTGGTGATTAATTATCTTATTTATTTGTCTCTTATTACTTTAATTAACCCCCTTAAAAGTTTTGTCTTGGGAAACGTGCAAGAGATTTTGTTGCACAAAATAAGAAACCGAGGTATTATAAGTGTATATTTTTGTAAAAAGCAATAACGGTGCATTACATAAGTGTATTTTAAAATGCATCATCTTATTTAATGCATCATTAGTGGGGAAGGACAGGAAAGGAGGGGCAAAAAACACACCTTCTCACAGCCTGGTGTTGACAACTTGAGTATCCCTTGATTCTCATTTCAAGATTTCCAAAACATTTCAGCAAGCTGCATAGCCTATGGGTCATATTTTTGGATGATGTAAAAACAATGCATTTCTCGCCTCTTAACTTTTGAAGAAGGGCCACTAGATACAGGGCTTTATCATTTGATTCACAAATCTGCACAGATAATGTACAACAGAGAATCTCAGCAAAAGCAAATCCATATTTATATTATAAAACCCGACTTACCAATTTATTAACATGGCAAATTGAAAACTTCTAACACCATTGTATCATATCTTGTATTACAGCATCCATTTGCCGGGTTTTTTTTTTTTTTTTTTTTTTTTAAATAAAAAAAAAAAAAAAAACTTTTTTTCTTAGGGTTTTTCTTTAATTGTGTGACACCAGGAACATATTCAAGCAATGCCTTATTGCACCACAACATGGCAGAGGATTCTTTGACAAAAAGTGTCATGGGATATCTGAGAGTCTGAGACCATATGTTTCACCTCAAATTACTTAAATGAAAAGTCCATTTTAAAACAAAAATGAAGCACTTGTTTATTCGTAATCTTTGGATTATAATAAACCAGATGGCTTATTAAATGTATACATAATCCTTATTCTCGTAAAACAGCACCAGTGATATTGATTCAGTAACAAAAAGTCTAACAACATGGATAAGGCCATGTCTTACAGTCACAGACCCTATACACAACACTATGGAAAGTTTCTATGCTTGAAGTCATAACCACATTGACATGGAGGCCAAAGGTAGCATGCACGTGCAGTGAAGCCATAATAAGGTAGGCGTACTAGAAGCTATGGCCCGAATGACAATGCTGCAAACCCTAAATGAAGCAAGGGCAGAGATCCTCTTTGTTTCTCGTCAATCATGTAAGCAAAAGCTCATGGGGTTATCTTTCATTAGAAAAAACTGGTAAAGGGAGGACATGGAGACTCAAACAAAAATGAGAAAGCTGGGTTTTTCCTAGCTAAAACACATCATTCCATTTTATAGCCTCAACCCTCAATGCTAATTTATCAGCATACTTTGATTAGTTCAAAAGTAAAAACTTTCCCCCTACCCCCTTCTGGCTTGCCCCATTAATTTTGGTTGAATGGAGTTGATATGAGACAAAAATATCGTGACCAATGGGGTGAATGTGAGAGTAAAATGTCAATCCCTAGTGATCATTTTAATATGGGGCAATCCAAAGAAGGAAAACGAGGCAAATAAAAGGGGACAAAAGGAACAAAGTCATGATTTATAGGAGAATTCAACCTATCAAAATCAGAATTATACCATTGCCTCTACAAGGCTCCCGCCCTAGGTGGGGCATGCAAGTTATGAAATATGCAATTGACGATGAGGTCAATCCAATTTATACCATTGGTACCAACAAGAAGGTTGTTTCCATACGACTACATATCTAAAGCAAAATATGATTTGGGTCTTTGGCTCCATTGGATATAGACCTGTAAAATAGGCTTATTGCCAACACTATGGTGAGTTATTGGAATGGTTTAAATAGATTGTTGTCTCTCTAGAAATGTAAGATCGCTACAATGAAGCTGAAATTTATCTAAAAATACATACTGATACATGATGTCAACATCTTTCCGTGAAATGACTTTCCTTGTTAAAGCCCGCCAAAGTATCTTCCTTGATACCTTGTCATAGGCCTTATACTAATCAATAAAAACCACATGTAAATTCTTCTTATCTTGATAATTCTACATTAGCTACCTCATAAAATGAATTTCCTCCACAATCGATCTTCCAAGCATAAAGCCAATTTGGTTCTTCTAGATCTTTACACTTTTCCTTAACCTTTGTTCAATCACTCGCTCCCAAAGTTATATGACTCATTAGTTTGATCCCTTGATGTTGGCATAAGGACACCACCTTTGTTCTTATACAAAGAGAACAATTCATCCACTTCATTGGCATCCATAAATTCCTCAAATCTTGTTGAAGAATGTTGCCAACCAATCAATTCCTCTTTCTCCCAAACATCTCCAAACCTCAATAAGAATGCCATAAAGCCCAATTGCTATCTTAAATCCCATTTTTTATCAATGCTATTTTGACATGTCCCTTTTGAATTCTCGGCATAAACTGCCGATTAACCATCTTGTGAGTAATAATTATATATGTGATATCTTGGATTTAATCTCCATTGAATAAGCTATAATCAAACAAAAATATATGACATACACCTTAATCTCCAATAATCCAATCCTACAGAAATCAGAACTTAGAAAACCTATACTTTATAATTGCTATGCACTTAGAAAACCTATACTTTAACATACTTGAGTTTTGCAGTGGGCACATTGTTCAGCGGGTACTCTCAGAATATTACTACTGTGGCTATAAATATGGTTAGTAATTAACATGTAGCTGCTGGGTACTCTTTTAAGGTATGCTACATTAATTTCAGCATTTACGAAAAAATTGTACCAATCACCCATCTTACCCAAGAGCTTTAGCAACTTGTTGCAGTTACTACAATGTTCATGTACCAAGGTTTTCATGATCTTCTATCTTCAAAGAATGTGAAAACCAAAGGCAGGCCAAATATATGTCCAGTGACTGAAAATTCTAATTGAGAGTTGCATTGAGAGTGCAATGCCAGCACAAACTCTGCTTGAGCTACATTGTGAAAATTAACTGCGCTAGCTTCACTTCCTCCCCTAGTATTATACTTCGTAGTATGTTGGGAACAACTGCTCTAATCTAACTAGCATACATAAGATTAAAACAATCCGACATGACCTCATATCCTAATATTAGAGTTTGTTTATTAAATTGCTAAATATCAAGGTCTTTCTTCTTGGGTAACATTCATGTCAGCAGCTTCACCTATATTTATGGACCACCATACAAATTTATAGAACACTTTGTGTACCATTATTGTCAACATGCCGTCCCTTAAGTTTTACACTTAGTTTGCGGAGACCAAATTCTACTTCTGCCTAGGTAAAAATGAAGAACAAAATTGGTTAAATTAAAATGACCTGTAAATGGGAATCCAGAAAAAATTAGACAACGAGATGAACATTGCACAAGCACATCACCATCTAATATAATCACTTCAAGAAAAATACATATTGACACTGCAATAATATCACTAGTACAAACAATCTGCCTTACCACTTTGAAAAACTCAAGCTTTTCAGGAAACGCATAACGTGATAGACCAGTTGTTAAGAATAAAGGGTGATGAAGATCCAGCAGATCAAGTTTGCTAGGATTTCGGGTCAGTGTAGCAGAGAAAAGCATCTTCACAAGCCTGGGATTAGCTTTATCCTTAAAACCCCTCTCAACTCCACTGCAATAGAATGAAGATAAACTCAAGGTCAAGCCTGAAGCACAGAAGAGCATTAATTATACATAATGAATTCTTGCAGGATGAAAGCTCAAAGTACAATCATTCACAAATGAAAACAATGCTGATTCAAGTAATGATAGCAGAACATTACATGCAAGGATATTGACTAAATTGTGATTTTCATCACCTAGATGTTATATCCAATCAAACAAGAACAGGTCTTCAACACAATTATGACTAGCTCGGCCCCAATCCATTAAGGTAAGATAAATCAAGAACAAACAAAAAAGAAAAGTTAAGCAAGAGCTAACCCAGAACATATTAAATACATAATTAGGGATGGAATGAACAACAATCATACTCACAATCTCCGAATGGTTTTGAAAGAACCACATATTGAAGCAGAAAAGGCTTCAACACAAGGTGCAAACACTTCGTCATTTGGACTGGACAACTTGAGCACAGCGGGCAACCATGACTGATAGGCCTCCCCTAATAATCGGTCAGTTTCATCAACTACCTACATCATTAACCAAACAACATCAAATTTACATATGGAATCAAACAGCATATATTAAACAGGGTTCGAGATCCGAAATCCGTATGTTTCCTTTTGCACTAAAACCAAGGTGAGAATAAAAGGGCCATGAGATTACAAACTTCAGAGAGTTCTGACAAAACTGGCAATTCACTCCTAAATTTAAGCAGTTATTTTGGAGATATAAGTTCCTTAATCATCAAAAAGGCTTATCCCAAGTTGATGGACTAAGCAACATGCCAACATGACCTCATTTTTATTCATGAATAATAAGATATATCTAGTTTAGTAATCCTATTCGTGACAAAAACAAGCTGGGAATTTAAAGATATGTCGCTAAGACATTAATATATCTTTCACAAAAACACCTATCATTTATGCAAGGATATGAGGGGGGGTGTAGATGTGCAAATAAGAACTGACAAAGAAAAATTATAATTTTTTTCCATCACTCAGTATGAAAAATGGCTTTTCCACTACAGATGATTAAATGTATCAAGCTCTTCGGAGGATAAGGAAACTAAACACAAAGAGGAACAACCAAAATGTCTCAAACTATTGTACTATAATTGTATCCAACAAATTTTTGGTACTGCTAATAGGGCCAACAAGCTACAGTGCAGATAATTAAGGAGAAAGGTATGCTACCTACAAGATAACGTAGATGCTCAAGTGTGAAGCCTTTAGTAGTATTGATATGGTCCATAAGCCTTCCAGGAGTTGCTACCAGTATGTCTACAGCACTTCGTGATTTGTTTGCATGATCTTCAGGGTCATAACAGAAGCCAGCCTCAAGTCTTGGTGCTTTAACTAGTGCTGAAATTTCATCAGCAAGTGAGGACTGCCCAACAGCCAAACCAACAGACAAGCCAACTGCTGCAGCAATATCATCAAAGACTTTTTTGACCTGAAATTTTAGAAACAAAAGTATATGAATGCATGCCTTCACGATTACTTACCACATTCCCCTGTTTTTAAATCTAGATTCACACCAGCAAGATAGCTACCTCCATGATGCCACTTAATTATGCGTTCTGATTATCTATTTTGAGCAGTTTAACTTTCTACTGACCTCAATTAATAGGAAGCAAGTTCTTTAATTTATATAACAGTTTTAATCTTTTTTTAGATCTCTATTCTAGACTACAAACATTGAAAAATTAATCATTTTCCTTTCTTTTGCAAGTGTGTTTTCATTAGTTTTGGAGGTAATTAATATCTATAATAAACTAAAAATTAATGATTTTTTTTCTAACATCAACTGTATAAGAAAACAAAGATTGGAACTACAAAGTATAATGTAACGGATTAAATTATAAATTATTCAATTTAATCTCGTTAACAATACAGAGTAAATGGATTTCTAATCCCCTTTGAGAATAAAAAAAATAATAATAAATCAGCTGTTAGCTGCACTGATCACAAGCACAACTCAAAGACCAAAAGTTATTAGCTTTCAACAGAATACATGTAAAGACCTTCAGGGGATCGACAATCTAGTGTCATTAATAAATCAAAGAAGCTAAGTCAGTCTCCAACCTCCAATTAGTCCAATATATGTATCACATGGCACATTTGCGCACAACTACTAGGAAACAAATGATAGCTGAGGAAAGACTCATGACTAACAGAATCATAAGATGTCAAAGCCAGAATTAGATGTATAAATATATAAATTGAGAAACTAAGAGTCCTAAAATAACAAACCTGCACAGCTAAATCACGAGTGGGCAACACCACCAATGCACGCAAACATTTCACAGAGTGTGTAGCTAGCTTCTGCACTATTGGCAGAGCATAAGACAAAGTTTTTCCACTTCCAGTGGGTGAGTTTACACATAGGTCACGCTCAAAAGCACCAGGACCTATAGTCTCTTGCCAAACAGCAACTTGTACAGGAAATAGTGAAGAGATATGGACATTCTTCAAAGCCTTATCCAATCTGAAAAAGAATTAATACACTACACCATCAATCAATCCAATAGAATAAATAATGGTCCAAACTTGGCTTGGAAGTTCAAGTTTATTCAATTTGACCATCCATTTATGGCAATATGCAATATGGTTTTGACCTTTTAACCTGAAAATTATAAGTTTAGGATAATGAAGTTCAGATGTTTATTCAATAAGTTTCAATAAGAACATGGCCATCCTAATGAAGAAACCACACCACTCTTGGAATAATAATCTTCTAACTACCACAATATATACTTCCTCCGTTTCTTTTTAGTTGACATGTTTTGACTTAGTGCACTATTCACATAACTTACTTTGCCTTCGTTTTGTGATTTAGTGTTAAGAAAAAACACAGTCATGTGGGTTCTTGTTAGATTCGTCTCAACGTTTATCTTCCAAATATCAAATTTTCCTAACACGTAACTAAAGATATTTCCATTTAAAAGTGTGCATTGGCAAACGTGCCAAAATGAAATGTGTCAACTAATATGAAATGAAGGAAGTATAGAATAAGGCTTCCCCAAACTTGGATCAGTTGTGCTGCTATCCTGTTTGTAATTTGAAATTGTCTATATAAACCATCTAATCTAGAAAGCACTTAAAGCTAGCCAATACTAAACTGCATTGCCTCCATTAGTAGCCCTCACTCTCTACACGAAACTTTACAATCATAAATGACAATGACATTCTTACAAATAACCTAAGATCCCAAAGTTCTACACAGCATAGTATAAAATTAGTTAGGAAGTTAAAATTCATAGCATTACATAACATTCCAAGTATAATCTATAGCATCCCAATGAAAATAGCCTTCAACATAATCTATATAGGATTTTTCCCTATCTCTTCTCTACGAGACACCAAGCCAATTATCAGTTTAAAGTCTTCAAACTTCTGAATCGGCTTCTTTGTAGATATACTAGAGTCCTTGATATCAAATGTATAGAATATGATTTCTAAATCCACTGAAGTAAAAAAGCTCCCACTCCCCAATAGATTTTCCAGACTACCTAAAGCTAACACCAAATTGCATGCCACTATTATAATCCCCAAATTTTGTAGCACTTACCAACTTCAGCTAAGCCAAGAATGTTCATTGATCTCTTCTCATAACATAGCATCACATTCACAAAAGTCCATCAATTATTCTAGTCACTGAAGACATACACAAACTATCTATTTTTCTTTCTAATCTAGATGCAACAACAAATATATCAAATTTTCAACTAATAGCAATCGATATCTATATCTACACTAATCCGCAGAAGTTTGTATGTCATGATCCCATGTCCCCTTCATGCTTCACCTCCCTACTTTCCTTTTATCATAAAATTCAAAGCTTACAACCCTTCTCATAATATTTTCTCTCCTTCAGTCATTCAATGTATTTTTTATGCACATATACATTTTCTCGTTCAAACTTTACAAAATTTCAAAATTAATATAAACAAGAAACTAATATTACTTAACCACATCACATGTATTTTATTAGGCTAAAACATAGTTAAAAAAATAAAATTAAATAAAATAAAATTAAAATTAAATAAAATATAAACAAAAATGAGAATAGAAACTAATCAAAATTTCACAGTAATTGCAGTAGTAAATCAATTATCATTAAAAAAAAAAAAAAGAAAAGAAAAGAAAAAGAAAAAAGGAATTTAGTGGGGATACCTAGGGTCGAGAAAAGGGAGCATAGTTAAAGGGGTTTCCTTAAAATCAACAATGTCAACTGGGTTTTTCATCCATGGAAGCACTGGTGTGCTCTTTTGAACTTGGGTTGTTTCTGCCATTGTTTGTAACAGGCCTTCACTGACAATTAAATTAACGATTAATAAAAGACTGAAATTGATATTCGATGATTATGAAAGGATGAAAATAAAAAATTTATACCTCTGAAGCTGCTTCAAAGGAAGAGAGAGGCGCTTCAATGGAGGAGAGAGAGGGATGAATGCAGCGGCTCAGCGTAAACGTGAATTGGCTCCAAGGGGAAAGTATAAGTGTTTAACATAAAGAGTAGACCAGCGTTTTTTTATTGTGAGGACGACAGAAAGCAGTGCGGTCTTGAACCGGACTGGTAGCTTCAAGTCTGGTCCTGGACTCCCGGTTCTTGAAAAATAAGGATTTTGGGTTTCAAGTTCGATCTAGTAAAGAAGTGAGTTATGGAGTCACATTCGCTCGTATTGGCTTCTACTCGATTCTTATTATGAAAAGTGATTCCTGCGATAACTATATTAAGCTAAGTTGGTTGAATGTTAATGCAACATATAATTCTAAAATATTGTGATCACTTCAATTAAACAACAAGATTAAAAAGGAACCTAAACCGACGTCCAAATTATCTTATTAGGCGTTATATCAATTACATATTCCCTTTAAACACGCAACATGGTGATCATAAATATAATAAAATCAACTTCAATATTGGAAGCAATTTAGCCATAATATTGTTGGTAAATCAAATCATAATAACCCTAATCATGATACTAGCAATAAGAATGAAAATAAGGGTAATTAATTAAGTGATTAGTTACTCAGGTTCCGTGCGTTCTTTTAAATTGGTACATCATGAATAAATTGTTAGTAACTTCAAAGAATAATAAATCAAAATTGAAATTAAATTAAATAAAAGTAGAGTTGATTTCGGGCCAAACCCTCAAACAGTTCTACCTTTCACACCTTGGTTTAATTTTAGAATCTCGGGTAAAGTATGGACTCTGGAGAGTGCTTAGGGGATGTATTGTTGAAGAATAGGAAAGGCTAGTGTTTAGGCTTAGAGCATAAGAGAGAAAGAGAGAATGATTTTTTGGTATATAAGAGGGAAAGAGAGAGAATTGTTTTGTGCCCCGAAACTGAGAAATCAACCTTGTATTTATAGAGAAAATATGAGGGGTGAAGCACGGAACCCTAAAATTGAAATGCGCCGCGGAGAAACCCTAGAAAATTGCCGTATCACGGTAGAGATTGCCGTGGCGCGGCAGAGATTGTCGTGGCGTGGCAGAGATTGCCGTGGCGCGGCAGCTTTTGCCGTGTCGCGGCATTTGTGTTTTCCAGAATTCCGTCCAAATTCATTTTTATATTTTACTTAAGCATTAAGTACGGGATAATTGCGCGTCGTTTAAGCTATTTTGGGTTTAATTAGGTTTAGGGTTTACATACTTATTAATCGGGCTCAATCAATAAAAATATGAAATGGATTAAAAAGGGTTTGGGTTGAAATGTGGATTGGACTGAGTTTGAATAAACATTTGGAATAATCTGTTGACTGATTTGCAGGCTATGTTTGATTGAATGTGGGTTTTAAGCACTCCTAAGATTAAATACTTGACCCAACCAATAATGGCGGTGAAAGGATGTTCATCATCGGGTTTGGTTTTGGGAAGACATTTTTAGGTGTCTACACATGCATAGTACCATTGAATGTTCAATGGTACTATTTGATCACCCAATGGTACTACTCTAAATTCAAGGTATGCATTTACGTCTAATTACACTTTTGCTTCTCGTTATTCAATTGTTTGTGCATAACCATCCTCCCTTTAAACATCCTCCGATCTAGGTTAAACCAGAATTTTTCAATCTTGTCCGAAAATTTGATTTTGGTGGAACTGGTTGGTTTATCGTGGTCAATTCTTGTAGGTTTTAGGGGTGGGGTGATTTCGAGTTGGGGAAAAAGGATGGGACCTGTTTTGGGGTAGGGAAAGGAAGGGGGTGTTAGTGGGGAGGTGGTTGGGTACATGTTTAAGGTTTTTTTTTTTCTTTTTCCTTTTCTTTTACCCAATAGCTTAGTGATACTGACACCGACACCAAAAGTGTACATAGTGGACCACTGGACCCTACTAACAGGTTGGACTTCGTTAGATGGTGTTGAAAACCAATCTTTAGATTTTTTTGTGGTGGTATAATAAAACTTTTAAAAAGTTGGTAGAAAAAAATAATTTGGTGTTTTTGTTTTTTTTGTGATAAAAATCAAAATTCCTTTTTTTTAAGGTGGCTTTTCACAAAAATTGGAATTTAAAAGGTTGATTTTGACCAAATTTCTTTTATAGTTACAAACAATTTTTACAAAGAAGGAAATCCATTAACTATTACTAAAACAAAATATGTTGAAGTCATCAATTCCATGGAGTGTCTTATATGCCTGACTTTCATTAAAAAAAATTTCTCCAAATTTATATTGATGTCATTAATTTATTATTTTTTTTTTTTTTTTTTTTTGCCATTTCCTTTTACTTGCTAGAAAACTAGCTAGGACCAAGTAGGTTTGAAACTAAAAATACGAAATTTGACATTGGCATCAATATTGTTGTATACTCCGTATTACTTTTGGATGTTTCAAATACAACAATATTTAATAGATATAGATATTGATAGCTAATTATCTACCTTTCTTTCGCTTCAATTTTAAACATATAATCTCAATAGATAATGCAACATTAAATGTATTTTGTCTAACCATCATTTTAATATATTTTACATAATATAGGAAATATTATGATGCTTATTCAATTATTATCATTTAACAAAAGGATTATGTACATGTTTATTTTAATATTTATATAACAATTTTATTTATATGAAAGCTTGCCAAGTAATTTTAAAAAGTTATCAACAACAAAAATATAAAAGAAATATGGAAAAATTACTTATTGACACGTGGGTACTAATCTAGTATATTTAATACTTCGTATAAAAGATATTATCTTACTAGGAATATTATCAAGAAAAAATTACAAAACATAATACAACCTTTAACCGGTTCTTTTTTAACAATACAACCTTTTGATTATTCCCTAATATTACTAACTTTGAACCCATCTATTTTTAACGGGCATTTTTACCTGAACCGGAAGAGTACAAGTCAACATTTATGTGACTGTACATTGTTATTAATTTCCCTCCTAAACTTGCTTATGTGGCACTGACCCTGCCAACTACCCCAATTACTCCTTCATTTCCCCTGTATTACTCACCATTGCAGGAGAGCATTTTAAAAAAAAAAAAATCAAAATTCGACCTTCGTCATTGATGATATACAACCACCAACCTAGTGAAACTGACGTTGCATCCAAGGGGAGAAGCTTATAGCAATTAAGACCTTGACAATTGACGTTTCAGCCATGGCACGATCTTCTTTACCCTTTTAAAGTTAAATTTATGAATTTTGCTGATTTAGGGTTATTAATGCGGCAAAAAATGTGGGGATGAGATCCATACTCCACCTGGAAGTGGAGATGAGACTGAAGTGGGAATTAAGCAGAGGAGGGGTATGCTTGTAAGTTTGGATGTTGATTTTACTAGGTTTACTTGGAAAGTTAGTCAAAGATTTGCAAATGGACATGAATTCAAGCAAGCTGTTGCTAGGTATACTATTATGCAGGGAAGAAACTTGAGCTTTACTCACAGCAATAAGAACAAGCAACAATTTGGTGTTAAGTGTGTGAGTGGTTGTCCATTTTACTTGTACTGTGCATGGCACTCAAGGAGTGGAAGGTTTTTATTGAAAAGGGTGATTGATAAGCATACCTGTCACATGAATATGAAGAAGAACGGGCAGCTTAAGGCTTCATGGGCTGCTACTCAATTACTTGAAGTGTTTAAGGCTAAGCCACACTGCTAGCTAAGGAAATTATTGAGTCAATTAGGAGGGCTTACAGAGTTGTGGTTAGCAGAGATTTTGCATACAGAGTGAAGTACAAGGCTCACAAAATGCTTCATGGGTCTATGAAAGACCACTACATGAAAGTGGAGAGGTATGTTCAGGCATTGAAGGTGAAGAGTCCTGGGACTGTTGTGGAGTTGGTGACTAGTGGTTCTGCAGAGGAAGGAACTCCAACATTTCAGAGACTTTTTTGCTGCTTTAAGGGACTTAAAGAGGGGTGGAAGGTTGGATGCAGGAGAGTTATTTGTGTAGATGCTGCCTTTTTGAAAACTTTCCTTGGTGGGCAGATATTAAGTGCAGTTAGGAGGGATGGTAATGAGCAGATGTTTCCAATTGCTTGGGCAGCTGTTGAGGGTGAAAATAACCTATCTTAGGTGTGGTTTTTCACTCACTTACAAAGTTTCTTGAATTTGGGAGATGGGACTGGCATTGCAATTATATCTGATGAACATTAGGAAATAAATCATCTCCTATTCTCTTTGATTGTGTATTTAATTGATTGATTATGTTTTACATAACATGTGAATGTACTTGGTGACTTTGTTGCTTTCCTGTTTTTGGTTCTGAACTGTTGTTGTTGCTGTCATGTTTTGATTTGGTTATCTTTGTTGTTGTTGTTATTTTATGTGAAAGCTATACTACATGCTATTGCAACTGTGTTACCTAGGGCTGAGCATAGACATTGTGCTAGGAACATTTTTGCTTTGTGGCATAAAACTTATAGGGGGGATAAACTGAAACTTCTGTTTTGGAAGATAGTTAAGTCTTATAATATGGCTGACTATGAGGATGGTTTAGCATAATTGAATGAGTTGAAAACAGATGTTGCATTATCATTTAAGTCTTACAACCCAAAGGTGTTTTGTAGAGCCTCCCTTAACCCTACCATCCACACTGATGCCATTACAAATAATATGGATGAGACCTTTAACGGGTACATTGTCAATGCAAGGACAAAACACCTTATATACATGATGGAGGATAGTAGGATTGCTCTAATTCAAAGGTAGTGAACAAAAAAAAAGGAGATGTAGAAAAACACTTCAGTCCTTTGTCCTAGGATTCAGGCATTATTAGAAAAAAGAGAAGGTCAAAGCTATTGACTATGATGTGCTACCTTCCTTAGAGACATTGTTCAATGTCTGATACATCCTTGACCAACTTATAATTGACTTAGATATTAAGTCTTGTACATGTAGGAAGTGGAACATGACAGGTATACCCTGTTGCCATGTTGTAGCCTACATTTTCTTCCTTAACAAGGAAGCTGAGTTGTATGTTGATGACTGTTTCAAGAAGGATGTGTACTTGAGTTCTTATGCTGGGTCCATACCTCCTTTGGAAGGAGAAAGACACTGGCCTAGACTTCCATGCAATCTAAACCCTCCTCCCATTAAAATTGGTCCTGATAGACCAAGAAAAATTAGGATTAAGGACCC